CCCCCCCCCCCCCCGCCATTGTCCAGATATGAGGTGTTATTAATCTTCAGCTCAGTTGAGGTTCTGTCACATGTCCACGGCCTTGGGGGAGGGAGGGGTGAGGAGACAGACAAAGCATCTTAGTTGTTTTAAAATATTCCAGGAGTTGAGATAAGTCTGGAGTCAAGGCCACAGTTTGGGTCAGGCAGAACTCGTGAATTGTTGTTTCTGCCTTTTAGTATAAAGTAGTAGTATATTTTTGGTACATATTCTCTGATGGAAACTCCAAAACAGCCGAATTGATCCTTTACAAAGTCGAGCTCACAGCTTCTCCAAGATTATTCCCACCTTCATGTGTTCTGCTAGAGAGTTCACAGTTCTGATAACAGCTGCTCCAGCTCTGACGCAGCTCCACATAATTCATTCTGAGTGCTGCCAAGCTTCGACACATCCACACAAATTTGTAGACAATCCAGATTTCACGAATCCAAACCGCAGAATCCAGTTGTCATCATGAATCCAATTTGTTTCCATCGAGGTAAGAGGGTCCTCCTTACCCTGACTCCTGTCAGGAGAAGTTGATCAATTTTGTTGAGAGACCAGCTGATCCTTCAAATTATGAGGTATGAAGAAAAAAAGATGCTCTTTAAGGGTTCACAGGACAAAAGAATGCAAGCAGGGAAGTGCAGGGTGGGGGTGGGGGGTACAGAGCGCCAGGAAAATAGGTCTGTCTTCGCCGGAACACAGAGAGAAAGAAGTCATCAGAGGTACAGCACAGGTGGAACAACTGGGAGATAAAGTTAGAGAAGACACACTGAGATGGTATGGACATGTCCAGAGGAGGGACAGTGGTTTGGACATGTCCAGAGGAGGGACAGTGGTTTGGTCATGTCCAGAGGAGGGACAGTGGTTTGGTCATGTCCAGAGGAGGGACAGTGGTTTGGACATGTCCAGAGGAGGGACAGTGGTTTGGACATGTCCAGAGGAGGGACAGTGGTTTGGACATGTCCAGAGGAGGGACAGTGGTTTGGGTAAATTGGTAGAAGGATGTTAGAAATGCAGCTGCAGGAAAAAGACAAAGACGAAACATATGGATGCAGGTAGAGGGGACATGGAGGTAGTTGGAGTGAGGACAGAGACAGATGGAGGAGGAGGACTTGTTGTGGAGACCCTTAAGAGGGACAAACCAAAAGAAGAAGAAGAAGATGAAGACATCCATGAATGTGAGCTGCTGGTCTGGTTTGTTTCGTTACTTCTGACGAGGAACAATGAAGATTTTTCTGTTTTTTTCTCAGAAAATTCAGGAAGAAACTTTTGTCTTGCTGAGTTTATCGAACACTTCCTCGTTTGAGCCTGATGCAAGTTTAAAGTTCTTACAGATAAAACGGAGGAAACCCAGAAGTGTTTGTCGTGGTGTTGGTTTGATTTCACTCTGAGCTCATAACTGTGGTGTTCCTGGTACTGACACGATTTACAGACCAGGCGTATCACCACCACCTGTGTGTGTGTGCGTGCGTGCGTGCGTGCGTGCGTGCGTGCGTGCGTGTGCGTGTGTGTGTGTGTGTGTGTGTGTGTGTGCGTGTGTGGGTGTGTGCATGCATGTGTGTGCATGCCTACCGGGAAGGCCATCTCACACAGTTTGTGTGTCCAGTCATCCAGCTGGTTCCTGTCAGCAGCGAACACGTAGATCTTCTCGGTGGTCTCCACCAGGAAGGACCCCGTGTCTCTGGGACATCCATCCATCTCCACCTCCGTCACCCGGATGCAGTCGGACAGACGGATCACCTGGGTAACAGAGGGGGTGTTATCACCATGGAAACGATGCTGAGGAGGGCAAGAAAACGAGGTTTTACCTTTTTGTTTTCCTGCTGTTTGCGCAGGGATTTGTCATTCTTCTCCACGTTGCTTCCATCTTTACACTCAAAGAACTCCAGCCTGGAGATGGAGCAGGAGCTGTCCCGGAACAACATGCACCACACCCGCTTCCACTTCTGCACACAGACACACAACAGTAACAAAAATGTAACACAATGGTAACATGACAGACACACAACACACACTCCTCAGAGGCTAACAGGAAGTGATGTAACGGCCTTTGTACCTTTCCAAATCGCTGCTGCTGGAGGAAGAGCGTCCCCTGCTTCTTGATGTCCTCCTCCATCACGGAGCTGCAGCTCCTCCTCTCCTCTTCGTCCTTTGCTCCTCCTGTTGCTCCACCTTCCTGGATGTTTGTCTCCTTTTATTCCTCCTCTCTGAGTTTCCTTCTTTCCTGCTCAGTCTTTAAAGTCGGTGTTCGCCTCCTTGTTTCACTCCTAACTTCTCTCCTCCTCTCGCCTCGTCTCCTCGTTGTGAACGGTGTCGACTGAATCCAGCTCAGAGGCTCAGCGTCTCCTGCTGTGGTTCTCCTTCCTCTGTGGTATCAGTGTTGTGCAGAAAGACGTTGCATGTGCCGTGCACTTCCTGTCCTCGCACCCTGTTGCAACATGTAATGCAGAACTGATGGTCTGGACCTCCTCCTTCAGTCAGAACCTCCTCCTGCTTTTATTATTTGGAGGCATTTTTTGATTTCACTTCCTTTGCACCTTCCACTCCGAATGAACCTGATGAAACATCTTGAAGCACATGGTGTGTTGGACCTGTGCCCCCTGGTGGTCTCACCAGAGCCAGAAGTCATGCCACCTCCAACTGAACTGCTCCTGTTTCACAACTCAACATGACGGCTGAATGCTTTGAGAGCTTAAAACCAAAAAGAGAAGAAATGGGGAAGAGCTAGAGTGAGAAGCAGGAAGTCAGTTGTTGTGGTTTTTGTCAGCAGGTGGGAGTTGGGCTGCAGAGCGCTGAATGTGGACCAGATGAACGGGTTAACGGGTCCCTCATCTGAAAACAAAAAGACTTCAGTACATTTAAATACCATCCCTGAGAGAAAGGCATATCAGCCTGTTTGCAGATGATGTGGTCCTGTTGGCATTGTGTCGTGATCTTCAGCTCTCACTGGAACGGGTCACAGCTGGGATGAGGACCAGAACCTCCAGATCTGAGGTCCTCAGGCTGAGGGTGGACTGTCCTCTGGGTTGGACTGAGGTTTTGCTTCAAGTGGAGGACTTCTAGTATCTCTGGTTTTGTTCACAGTGAAGGACAAATGGAGTGTGAGATCAACAGATGGATCGGTGCTGCTTCTGCAGTATAGTGGATGCTGTCCCGGTCTGTTGTGGTGAAGAGGGAGCTGAGCTGTAAGGAGAAGCTCTCTGTTCACCGCTTGGTCTACATTCCTACCATCACCTGTGGTCCTGAACCCTGAAAGAACTAGATCCTTGATCCAGGAGGTCTAACTGAGTTCTCTCTGCAGGGTAGCTGGGCTCTCCTTAAAGATCTCGTGAGAAGTTCAGTTCTCCTGGAGAGACTTGGAGTAGAACCGCTGCTCCTCCACATCCAGAGGAGCCAGCTGAGGAGGTTCAGACATCTGGTCAGGATGTGTTCTGGGCAGGTTCAACTGATATGAGACCTGGGACACTCTGGTCTGGAGACACTGTCTCTTACGCACAGTAAAGTCTGGTCCAGCCTGGACCAGTCACAGTCGGCCCAGCCCCGGTCGTCCTTCGTTCTGGTTTTGTTTGTTTTCAGCCACTTTGATGTGAGCAGGATCCTCATAGCAAGACCGCACGAACCTCCTCTCCTTGCTGCCGGTCCAGAACACCGGTGCTATTGTTGGTAAAAACAGGAGCTCTCTCCATCAAACAACTGGACCCAAGCACGAAGCTGAAGGAACCAGAGGAGCAGGAAGTATGACTCATCCATGACCCGCGAGCCACAGAACCAACCGAGGCCCAGCAGTCTGCTGACACCAGACCTGCAGCACCAGCCTGGTCCGAATGGAAACCCAGGCTCTGGGGTTCCAAAAGTTGAGCTGGAACTGTTTGACACTTTGTGCAGAGATGTTCTTCAACTCAAATGATTTTTTCCCGTTTGTCTCCTGGAGCACGTCTGCTCACAGACTCCCCACACTCAATGAAAAGTCTCTGCAATCAGGCCTTGAAGGTTTTATACCAAAAGACAATCAGATTTCATCACTGTAATATTTTAGCTAAGTTCGGTATTCTAGAATTTTCCAATTTTATGAATTACAATTTTTTTAAATTGATTTTCAGATGCTTAAATGGACTTTCACCCAACCATTGAGCAATGATACAGAAACTGCAGGGCTGCAGTAGATCTACCAGAGCGGCTTTAAATGGCGACTGTTCCTTTTCGTAGAACCACTTTTGCTCAAAGTTCTCTCTCTGTGAGAGGATCCACAGTTTGGAACTCACTTCCTGTCAGTTTAAAGTCTGTAACCAGATTCAACATTGTAGAGGATCAGGTCTACAAAATCCTTAATTCTTGATTAGTAATTTTATTTTTAAAGGGGGCACCACTTGCTTTTCGGTTCTAAACCACTTCAAGCAAGACAATATTAAAAATTCCATTTCAAATAATGTATTCTAGTGAGTTCTTGTCATAGCAAATTCAGATGTCATATATAGTAAAACACAGATTCAAAGTACAATATTGTGATTTTATTATCGATGTATATGGAGGTGATGAGTGGTAAATACAGCTGAGAAATGAATAAGAAATTATAAAATTAATAATAATAATGTAAATGACTGAGGACCTACAACAAGGTGAATAGGCTAGTTATCAGAAAACCAGAGTACGACTCATGGAAGGAAAAGTCAGAGACTGAAGGTTTTGCAGTTTGCTAGTGTTTACAGTGAGAAGGATTATATACAGTCAGTCAATATTTACATTAAACAGTGTAATTTATCCAAATGCCCATTTGAGAATTAAATTAAATAAATTAAACTAAAGCGTGCACAAGTTCTAAAGAAAAAACAACAAAAACAAATATTCATCAGCAATAGTTCAGAGTCCATCAATATTTCCCATACCTGAGCTGGTAGAAATCTGGATTGTCGAAAAATTTGGAAACGTCGGCAGCTTAAATCTCTCTGTGGTAGCTGTAGTAAGGATCTTTTGGACCATGTCTTAAGAGACTAGGTATGGTGGAATTCAGCCGATAGCTAAAGTGTTGATGGAGGATCTGACCTCCCTAAGCATATTGGTTGACAGTGTGGTTCAACTGAGCATGAGCATAATCAACCTCTATAACTGTCTAGAGTAGTTACACAAATTGCAATATGTTTTCAATGGAATTGTGACTTTCATGGTTAATTATCATGCAATCCAGTGGTTAAGGAAATTGTTTGTTTTATTAAAGTTTATTATTATTAGATCTGAGGTTTTATAGTTTACCTATTTGTGTGAGCTAAGTAACTTTGAAAATATGTAATTTAAGGTGTTATTTTAAGAGGAGTTGTGTCTGTAACTTCTTAGTGGTTCATTTGGATTGGGTTTTAGTCTTCTACAGATTATCATTGGTTGTTTTTGTTAGAGCCTTGTGTGGCTTGATCTAGTTTCAATAGACCCACTTGAAGACAGGTTCTTTCTGACCTCTGCTGATCCTGATTGGGTATGCAACTGGGGACAGTTTGTCCATCACGTGTGGTCCAGTCCACCTTGAAAGGAGTTTGCGGGTAAGCGTTGCGGCTCTGGAAGATTTTTGCCCAGTAGATGGGGCGAAGATGTAATGCCAGACCTTTTTCCCAACTTGAAGTTTTTCATAGGCGGCTTTGCGTCCTTCAGCTGTCTTGTTAAGATGTTTTTGGGCAACGGTGAATGTGGTTTTCAGGTGTTGATTCAGATATTTCATGTACTGGTGAGTTGTGTAGGCTGTTGCTACACTGTCTTCACCAAGTTTGTAGAGTAGGTGCAACGGAAGGGTCATCTGTCGACTGGTCATCACCTCGAAGGGAGAGATACCAGTGGACTGATGTGGGGTTGATCAAATGGCCATTAGGACCAGGGCGAGTTTGATGTCCCAGTATCTGTGGTTGGTGGACACATACTTTTAAAAAACACTGATCACTGTTCTGTTGTATCGCTCAGCTTGGCCTGATGCTTGGGGATGGTAGCCAATATAGAAATAGACTTTGACCCACAACATTTAACAAAGTTTCTGCATCACTTCAGCAGGAAAGTATGTACCTCTGTCAGAGTTGACCCAAATGGGTGGGCCGAACCATGTGAAGATGTGGTTCATAAATAGATAGGCAGTGGTGTCTGCAATGTCATTGGTTGCTCGTAGACATTCAACCCATTAGGTGAACGCACAGTTCACAGTGATTAAATATTTTTTTCCTCTTGTCAATTTGGTGAGTGGTCCTACCCAATCGATCTGTGAATCGGACCACAGAAAGATGATCCATCTGCTTTGCAATGGTGATCTGTGAAGGGGTCTTGCAGGTTGGAACTGACAACAGACCAAACATCCTTTGATGTAGTTATTTACATCTTTGCACATTCCTGGCCAATAAGCGATTTGCTTTAACACATTGAGAGTTGCATTGACGCCTTTGTGTCCTGAAGACAGAAGGTCATGGGCATGTACCAGCATCACCCCCTGTGGTCTCGAGGCACAACGAATGAAGGTGAAGATGTTAGATCGGGGGAAAAGACGAGCATGCCTTTGATCATTTTCAGGTGTGAGCATACCTTAAAAAGAGTATGTAGTTCAGGGACAGAGTCAAGTTCAGTCAAGAAAGGAATGTTAGTGTTTGGATCAACCAGGTACTGAATCATTTTCCCGATAGCTGGATCCAGAGACTGAAGTTCCATGATGTCTTTGTAAACATAGGTACCACTGAAATTGTATTGTCCACAGGCTGTGGAATAGTAGCGGTGGTGGTTGTAGCGCATGAACGGGTGAGAGCACTCACTTCTGGGGAGGGAGGGTCTGGGACATGAGCAGGCAGCCAAGAGGGGTCGAAAGACCACCGGGTACCATTAATGGGGCCTCTTTTGGCTAACGAGTCTACAAGGTTGTTAAGCTCTTTGTCTTGTCCTAGCACACACGAGTGGCCTCTGATGTTTGTCCGAAAGACTTGTAGGTTGTGAGATGTCACCAAGTGATCACGTGCCATGAACAAGTCCTTGTGTTTCACCATTTTTTTGTTGCACGTGAGAAAGCCTTTACATTTCCACGCAGCAATGTGACAACAATGAACAGAGTGTTTTACCGCGGTTTGCAATGCAATCAATATGCCTGTGATTTTGGCATATTGTGATGATTGTGAGCCTAGTTTAAAATGTAATGTGTGTTGTTCACTATTGTGGTGCCAAACGGCACCAACACCAGCTTTGTTAACAGCATTATGGTGGAAGGAGCATCCATTTACAAATATTTTCATCAAAGTATTGATGATGTGGGTCTTTGAAGGCGGTGGCATGTTCGACAGGTGTCTAGACCAAAGAGGCATCCCGAGTGCACTGTTGGCAGTACCCAGAGAGGTTCTCTTGTTTTGACCATAGTGGACATCTATGTCAAAACTCTGCAAGGCCATAAGCCATGAAGCCACACATGCGTTTGTCACCACACCATCTCTGATATGTTGGCTGTTAAGAGAAGTTACTGGTTGGTGTTGTGTTTGTTGATTACAGCTTGGTCTTCAACACCACAGTTCCCTCCAGACTGGTCACCCAGCTGCGTGATCTCAGACTGATCCCCCACCGGTGTAAGAGGGTCCACAGCTTCCTGACTGGCAGGCAACAGGAGGTACGTGAAGGTGACCACAAGTCATCACTCCATACCCTCAACACTGGATCCCCCCCAAGGGTAAGCCCTCTGATGCACTCGCTGTACACCCACGACTGTGTGTCCTCACCAGACAGCAACATTTTTACCGTTTGCTGATGACAGTCATTGTGGGATTGATCTCCCACACTAATGAGATCGAGTACAAGAGAGAGGTCTCCCGCCTGGAGAGTTGGTGCCATGAGAACTTCTGCCTGCTGAACATCACCAAAATCAAGGAGGCGATAGTGGACTTCAGGAGGAAACAGCAGGGTGACATCTGTCCACTCTGGATCAGTGGGTGAGATGGTCACTTATCTTGGGGTGACCATCACACATGACCGGTCCTGGTCCCAACACGTAAAAAGAGTCAAGAAGGCCAGTGTCTCTTCCATCTCACAGACTTCAAGCTCCGCCCACAGGGTGCTCAGGAACTTCTACACCTGCACCACTGAGAGCATCTGGGGTGGGAGCACCACCACCTGGATGGGCAGCGGCACCAATGAGGGTTCACTCAGCAGAACGGGCCATCAGAACCTTCAGGGCATCATAAGGTGCAGGTCGATGGCTGAGAAGATCCTCTAATAACCCAAAGCCGCCAGACATTCACTCCTTTCCCTGCCGCCATCAGGCTGAAGGTTTCACTACCTAAGAACAAAGACAGAGAGGAAGAGGAGGACCTTTTTCTCTCAGATTATCCAACTGCTCAACTCTGAGCAGTAAGAAATTAAATAACTGAATTTATGGACCCAGATTTTCAGCTTGTATCACATTGTGTGTGTGCTTTTATTTAGTCTTTAAATATTTACAGATCTTTGGATGCAGGCTCAAAACAGTTCACATGCATATATTATGTAGGACTGTGCATGTCCATCCATCCATCCATACATTATCTTCCGCTTATTCCGAAGTCGGGTTGCAGGGGCAGCTGCTTGAGCAGGGAGGCCCAGACATCTCTATCCACAGCACCTCTTCCAGCTCATCTGGGAGGATTCCAAGGTGTTCTCAGACCAACAGAGAGACTGAGTCTCCCCTGCGTGTCCTGGGTCTTCCCCAGGGTCTCCTTCCAATTGGACATGTCTGAAGCACCATCCATGAAAATGGATGGATGGATGGATGGATGGATGGATGGATGGATGGATGGATG